GGGAGTTAGCATTTTTAAGGGTCCATTTCAAGGTTCCATTTTTAATTTTTTTTTTTTTGTGTCCATTGAGAATATTTTAGGAATTGCTAGTATAAACCTAAAGGGTCAATGAAAAAGAATCGTAAGAGAAAATGGAAGGGGGGATAACTTTTTTACATATACTCAGAGCAATATATTTATATATATTATTTTTCTCATTCTTGTCCTTTTTCTTAAGTTTCTGGAGGGCAAGCAAATAATTACCCAGAGTTGGAAATTATATGCCTTTTGAAGGATAATTTGCTTGTTAGCACTCTAATAAAATGACTTACCTGTAATTAATGTCCACATTTTATCTGTATAATCTCAATTATAGATTTTATTGTTAAATGAATCTCTGTTCTGTCTCGCTTTTCTGCTTACTCGATGGCCTCTGTGTTTATCATAAACCATTTAATCAATAGTACTTTTCAACTCCACCAACACAAGACAATGGGAAAGGAATATTCATTATTATGGCAAATGCTTTATTTTCATGATTATACAAAACCAAAGGACTGGAATACAGGATAGCATCTCATTCTGAATACACACATTTCCCAATAATATCTTTATGAAGGCTAAAATAATAATTACCTTGAACTTTGACAGCAGAAGTATATCAAACTTAACAATATATTATTATTTCAGAATTCCTTCAGTTACCTCAGTGAGTAATAATTGGTTTAATTCATCTATTTAATTGTGTTTTCTCCCAAGTATTAAAAGGTCACGAGGAGTTTCTCATGTCATGTTATCAAAATATGGTCCTTCAGCACCCTCTAGTTGTACAGTTCTGCCTGTAAAAGCCAGTTGCCTGCTACAGTCTGGAATGGGGTTCATAACTATGCCTAGGAAAGTGTTATTCAGCATAGTGATATTGTGGACTGCTGCTACCTTCCTAGTGAGCTCAAAGCATGCACCAAATATGCTAACTTTAGCAACTAACAATACAATAGGAGTTAAGAAAATATTAATAAGAGTTCATAAAATGATGAAGGTAAAGTTTTTAACTCTTCTTGAATACACAGCACATTTTTAATTAGATTAGACATAATGTTGTTCATAACTTCTGAACAAACAAAAACTGAACAGCCTGTTTTGAAAGGAATACTATCTGTGTGTTTCAATTTGCAGTTTCCTGTAATTTCTCCCACCTGTATCCCTGTAGGCAGAAGAAACACATACTTCTATTTCCTCTAAATTTGTGCATCTCCCAAGATACACCTGAGTCTCAGGGATTCACAAAAGGGAAATGAATTTCCTTTGCCTCTGCTCTGCTCTGCTGCTGGCTTCTAGTCCCTGGGCACCACAGCTTCTACCAAGAAAATAGTTCAGTGTCAAACCTTGCATTTGAAGGTGTTCTGAAAAATCAGTTGTCTCTGAATCTCAGGATCTTAAGAGTATGTTTCCCCTGGTCCCTCTTGAATTCCCATGAAGGTGAATTAAGCTGTTGCTTGGAGCACAAATCATTCATTTACCTTCTTTCCTGTAGAATTGGCATCTAAGAGTTTGCCTATACTGGGAAGTCAGTGTGCAGACAACTAGGGTATCATTTTACAGCACATTAACTACTCTGCAATAGCTCCCTCTATGGACCCTCAAACTTTGTTTGAGTTTGCTTATTTTATTCACAAAGTACACCGTAAAGCCACACCTTAGCTTACTGTGCAGTAACTTCCTTACATAGACAAGCTTTAAGTCTGATGCCTACTTTTAGATGGAAGTCCTGCAATCATTGTTGGACTAATTGTCTTCCTTTATTGTCCTTTAAGGTATATTACACCTAGTTAATTTTCTGCCCATGGAAACTGATGCAAGCAATTTTAGAACAAGTGAGTTACTTCCTGTTAAATTTCACTCTTAGAAAAGATTACTAAAATAAATCTACACTTCCAATTGGCTTTTCTACTTCTATAAATTGGGCTTTGTATAATGACATTTCTACACAGGCAGTTTAGTGTGCGGTAGGTTCAGATATGAATTTATAGTGCATTAGCTGCTCTGCACTAATGTAAGTGGATGCTCTCAGTCCACATTAAAAGTGCCTTTGTTCAGGGTTGCTTTCCAAGTGTATTAAGTGACACTTCACAGAGGCATTCCTAGTGCAGACTAAGCTTATCCACAAAGGGCAGGGGTTGGCAACCTTTCAGACATGCCAAATTAGCACAGCACAGTCTGAAGATGAGCTGCCACTCCTCGTTCAGCTGCTACTTCAGCCACTGTTGCTGTGCTTCTCACCCTGCTCACTGGAGCCAATTGCTCACTGACATCCTATCAGCCATACAACCAATCTCTGCATTGTTGCTGATGACCTGCTCTTGCAGGCTGGATGAAATCGCTGTGCAGGCCAACACTGACCTATAGGCCATAGATTGCTAGCTCCTGAATGAGGAATTTGCATTGAGAAACTCATGTGCTGTTAATTCACACTCCCTACTTGCTTCGCTGAGCAGCATTCTTTTTTTCAATTTCTATATCCAACCGCATATGCAACATTTTTGGCACTTATGCAGTTTTCAGCTGTACTGCCAATCCATTGTGGATGCCTGATAATCCACGCAATAGCAACAACTACCAAGCATGCACAGTAGGCTATAAACTGACCCCATATGTGTATATCTGAACATAAATTCTGAAACAAAAAGGGGGGAGAGGGGCCTTTTACATTTTTGCCCAATGGACGAGTCATTTAGACAGTCTCTTAAGAAACAGGAAACCCTGGTTCTAGGGGTCTTGAACCTTCTTCTCTCCAACTCCCTAGTTGTAACCCCAGGTCACATACCAGGCACGGATCACATCAGTCCCCTCCAACACTCCCTTTGAAGCTAAGATACTGTACCTTGTAAATTTATTGGAAAAAATGGTTTGAAAGCAATGGAAAAGTTTCTGCTTTGCTGGGAATGGGGCCCAGCCAGAACCCAAGGCCCACTTCTATCTAGAGAGGCATCCAGCCAACAGGACTATACACCCTTACTTCATTCTTCGTTCTCTATCTAACACTTATTAGTCACCGGATTTTGACAGTAGAATTTTGACTTACTCATGCCCCACATACACACATACATAGCCATGTATCCATCCAGACAGCAAGTAGCCTACTGAGCATGTTCACATTGCAAAGGTAATAGAATCACAAATTGTGTGTAAAGTGCCAAAAATGCCACTTACATACCTGGAAAACTGCCCATTGGCAGCATAAAGTAGATTTTTTTCCCCTTTCTATACAAACCAAATATTTGGACCCAGGACTAAGGGTATACACTGCCCAATCCCTGTTTTTGAGAGTTATGACATGTAAATATAGATGTATCTCGTGTAAGTGGATAAGAGAATTCAGGGATGCTAGTACTTGATGTTCTGATGTCTTGGATCTGGATGTTGAAGGTAAAAATGAATTCAGATATAGAAAGAATTTATAACATTTTTGTGTCTAGAACTGTAATTTGTTGAATACTATACTGAATAGTACATTGTAACTGTATGACTCAATGGGGTTCCATTAGTTTCATATTTTACAGTAATATCTATTATATCCAAATAATATAAGAAGTTAATTTATGGTCTTAGAAAGATATGGAGCATGTTTCTGTTTTCCTTTTGACATCAATGGGAATGTTACCCTTGAATTTAAAGAAAACAACACAACTTAATTTAAAGCAGAATCCAGTCCTGAACTGTTCCTCCCTGTTACAGGTCTGTCTCTACTTTTCTGCCACACTTATCATCTGTCTGAGCTGCTGACAACTCTTCTTTGTTTAAAAATCTTCCTCTTCTCATGAAATCACATCCAAAAGCCTCCAAATGTCTTAAATTACATTCTATAAAAATTAGCTTTTTGATGATTTACCAGGCAGGATATCAGTGAGTAAAACCATTAACAGATTTGCAAAATAAGGGTAAAAATAGCTATACTGAAATTTGTTTCAAAAGTTTAACTGAATCTCTATGGATATTTCTACCCACAGTCATTGTCATGTCTTCTTCTCATGCAGACATGCCCAACTTCGTTTTAAAATGAATAAGGATTGATAGCAGTGTAGACACGGCAGCACAAATTCCAGCCGGCACTGAAACACTGATCCAAGATGCTGGGTAAATACTCAGGCAGTTATTCCACACTGGTCTGTTTCCGGGGCCACATAGTTAGCAACACCCAAATATCCTGTTTAAAGATAACTCAGCTATGTTGACCTGATTTACAGGGAACTCAATGCAGACATAACTTATATGTCACAACCTTCGCATCTGGCTCTTTTCAGTGGCAGGTCACCATTTTATTTTTTGCCATTTTCAAGCCTGCCTGTGGCTAGCAGAAACAAACAGGTCTAAATGTGGCAGAAGACTTTTCCAGTCAAAAAATATTCTTGTCCATTGCTAAAGAAATGGCGTATTCTTACCATGACAGTATGCAGTTTTTGGCATTGTGGAGAGGTGATAACTCTCTTTAAAAAAGCTTACACACAAACTTGTGTAAGGCATATTCAGAAACATACAGTGATCAATCACATATATATATAACCAAAACGGTGTTTGCTTTGCAATATGATACTGATTATAAATTTGGTTGTTTCAGAGAAATTCAGAGAGGGGTTAAGTGCTTCCACCTTGGATCTCTCTCAAGTTCAGGCTAGTACCATAGGATCACACACAAATTAATACTAAACATTAACAGCATTATTTATTGTGAAACATAGTCTACTTGTTTCTATTAAGTATGCACATTTGTTAATTGACTTTTTTATTAGGAGTTCCTGATT